ATATCAAGATCTGGCGTAGGATCCAGGCGAACGCCGACCAACATGTGCTTCAGAGTGATTTAGATACGGTGTATCAATGGTCGACCCAAAACTTATTGCATTTCAAGGTCAATAGATACGAGGTGCTTTTCATCCGATATCAAAGCAGCTACTCATACCGACTCGGAACGGATGTACTGCAACAATCAACTCTCGAACGTGACTTGGGTGTCCTGGTTCAAGATGACTTGGGTTGCTCCAGGCAATCCGAAAAGGCCTCGAAGACCGGGAACCAACACGTGGGGCTGTTGAGGCGGGCGTTTGGACAAATAAGCAGCTCCATATTTCGACAAATGCTCAGTGCGTAAGTTCGCCCCCATGTCGAATACGCAATTCAAGCTTGGCATCCATGGCTGAAACACGACCTTAATGCGCTGGAGCAGCCACAACGCCGGGCATCTAAGAACGTAATTGGAATGCGCAATTTTTCCTACCAAAAGAGGCTGCAACGACTGGGATTGTTCAGTGGAAGCTATCGCAGACTACGAAGCGACCTTATTATGGCATACTTGATTCTGCGAGACCCACATCATGTGTGCCGCCCTTTACTGCAACCCAGCAGCAATACAAACCTAAGGGGACACTCATTAAAACTCGCATAACAATACAGTCGTCTGGAGTGCCGCAGAAATTTCTTTTCCATTCGTGTCTGTCACCCGTGGAATGCTCTCTCAGAATCGGTCTTATCTGCACCGACGCTAACAGTATTTAAAAGACGGTTGGACGATGCACTAATTCACTTACACTTTGTTATTTAAAACTACGTCTCCATCCTACACGTGGAGTATAACATGGAATTATTTGTTGTTAAATGTGGATGCTGTGAATCTAACAGGGTCGCAGGACTGCAGCGAAGCAAACGATAAGTCCTTATTTTCATATTTAAATTATTAACTATTTTACTATCCTTATTGGCATTATTGTTATGTTGATATCCCCTGCAACTATCCAACGGGACTTGTAAAGCCACGATTCTTAACCCGTAAAAATTCATTGTTCATTGCCAGTAGCCGTTGCGTAACCTTAGGGCGTACTGCATCAATTGGAGGACGTGTCTCACGCCCGAACATGGCTTCCGCTGGGGATCAGCCGCCTGGCAGATCGGGGTTTTGCGTAGCCCAGATTACTTAACAAGGACAGCCGTATGATCTCCTCTGTGGGTCCCTCCCCCCGCAGCTTTAGAAATAAACGTTTGATGGTATCCACGAAGCTTTCTGTCTACCCGTTGGACTGGGGATGCCCCGGAGGCGACCGGCGGTGCTTGATACAATTACACTCGCAAAAAACACCAACGTCGTGGGAGATAAATTGCGAACCGTTATCGGAAACCGAGGTATTTGCTGAACCGAACTCTGCAAATACCTGTTATAATTTTCGTACCATAGCCGCTTTCGTATTTGTGTTCATCAGGTATACGTCCGACCACTTGGTATACGCATCAATCACAATTCAAAAAAATGGCCTTGAGCGGGACCAGGAAATCAAGGTGAATTCTCTGCCATGGCTTAGAGGCTGGCATCCGGGGTTGGATGAATTTGCTTGGAAGTTGCAATGCTGAAGCACATTTGTTACATGTGGCGACACAATCATGAATAGCGTTGTCAATAAAAGGCCAAGCTACGTAACTTCTGGCTGAAGCTTTCATCCGGGATATTCCGGGACAATGTAGGTGCAATTATCTTAATAACCTTGCCATTGAGGAAACCCTAAAGAATACTCTGCATAATTCGTTAAACGCGCTTGCGTTGAGCTCCACCCAGGTAGCCAAGCTGTTGACTTGGACTACGCTGATGGTATCGTCTTGCTGGGTGAAGGTCCACAGGCCGTCCAACGAGCGATTGAAGCGTCAAAATATGGAATGACTATTTCCATCCAAGTGCAAAGTGTTTTCCTATAACTTTCAGATGCCTGTACCTGCACTCACTCTTGGTGGTGAGACCCTGGAGAATACTGTGTTTTGCCTATTTGGGTAATTGCATCACAGCCAATGGTGCTATTGGAGACCAAATGTCGTTGCGTATCTTAAGAGCTCGCCTCGCCTTCTCTAAGCTGAAGGACTTGAGGCGCCGCCATGACATCGGTATATCCATCAAAGGACGGGTTTATTGTGCGGCTGTCCGATCAGATTTTCTATTACGGCACGGCACCAGTTATATAGCTTTACAAACAAGGGCGAATCCAAGCTACTAAACGCATGTAATCCAACAGGCATGAAGAAAACACAAAATGGAACAAGCAAATGAGAATCGCGAAAATTACGAGCCAATGAAGTGCGGCAAAGAAAATTGTGTCTGCGGAGTTAATCCCTGGGGGTAACCTTCTGGTGAGCGACCATTAAAAATTACGAGTAGCGTCCAATCAGTGTGGAGAAGTGATGCGTTTAAACAAATGCCAGAACAGTTGATAGTGAGAATGATACACACCAGGAAAATAAAAACAGGTATAATAAATATGTGTCGGCTGAATAATACATCCACGTGAAAAAGCTAAGGAACGCTGAGCAAAAGAAACCAATCAGAATGTCCACAGAATGAGACGGCTGAAATTAGCTGTGAGCGTTTGCGAATGAGGCTGAGGAAAGCAGCGTGTCCAAAATGTAGCAGAGAAGCAGGTAACTGCGCAAACAAAGAAATAGGCAACTAACATAATTCATGAAACTGAGGGTTAAGTAGCCAGCCCCCTAACACTTTGGTAGTTCATCTGCGCTGTGCTAGCCACTGGGGAACAATGTTTTCGGTAGCATACGCGTCACGTGTGCAAAAACACGTTCCTGTCTTGACTTGATTTGCAGTTACCGTGTTCCGTGTAATCGGTAGGTAGAATATAACGGTTTATTGCGCCTCCCAGTAGAAAGCAAATGCGCCATATTGGCTGGTCTTTGAGCAAAGAGTTTCAGCACTAGTTCTGAGCGATAACTTTCTAGCTATTCAACGCATGCTTACCTACGGGGTGCTGCATGACACAGGAACTACAATTCAGCTGGCCATGCACTTTCCCTGCGTATGGACAGCTGGGCAATCCCGATCAGGGTGGATGTTAGTGTAACGCTACAGAGGATACATCTCCAGTCCCAATTGTAGCCCGACTTTCACATTGGCCGACGGCATAAACGGCACTGCAAGCTGCACCAAACAGCCAGTGAGAAAATGCGTTCATGGAGTTAGGTATTGTGTAACACAATTTCTTAATCACTGACCACTTTTGCTGAAGTCACGCGTTGAGTTCGGGTCTCGTTTGCTTAACGATGGTTGTTGGCGTGCACCATGGGCCGCATCACAAGAGAGACCGATGAGTCGCACTATCTGCGACTCCTTGACGAAGCAACCAGACTTCTTATACTGTTCCCAAGAAAACGGGGTATGGCTCTGGTTGTGAAACGGAACAGCACGTGCAGTTGAACCGTGAGTATATCACATGTGTGGCAGCGTTGCTAATTTCGTGCTAGTGTAGGATACCCACTGATATACACCAGCTGCTGCGTCCGTCGCATTGACAGTCCGGAAGCGTTCACCGCGAGTAGATATGAGTCGCCGAAAATTTTCTTTCTTTTGCAACGCGTACAACAGTAGGAACGACTACTTTCAGCAGAACAGTGTGTGCTGTATTAGTTCCAGTGGGTGGTTGCATGTCCGTAGAGTGGGGAGTAGAGGGTGGCCGGGATACGAAGCAGGAAATGCACTGGGCCATGTATAGGAATTAGCTACAGAGCACGCAACTTGTCTGATTGACTGGGATTAGTCAAAAGGGCAACGGATTTGACGAGGGTGGACGTTTCCGCTGCCACTCCACCTCCTGAGGATATAAAATTCGACTTACATCCGTTCCAACAGGCTTCGTTCACTCACTAGCCACACTGTTTGTGAACGCAATTGGTCTCATTAAGGTGGGATCAGAGCAACTGTGATGGTCGAATGTTCCCACTTGAACTCTGCACTAGGCCAGACGGACGAATTTTCTGCCCACATAATATAATTTTCCTGCATTTGAACACTAGTGTTGACTAGCGCCGCATTATCCAAGCAGCGCAAATTCGTCTACATGGTAAACGGAGTCAGAACGCCAAACGAGTGAGTCACCAACTAACATCCTCTCAACAACATTTCATTCACCTTCCCTGCATACCACATCCCTCCCTAAACTATGCTGTGTATTTGCTGCTGTACTAATTGGTATCTTAACTTGCCGTGTGGCGGCACGTCAGCTCTCGTACGGTTTGCTGTCTCCCACCGCAGCGAGTGACCATCTGCCACCGCATTGCTCACATTCCTGTCCTCACTACCTGCGGATGTGTGTAGAAGGGGGATATGGTCGAGTGAGGTCGCGATAAAAAAACACCACTTTAGTATGCTTGTGGTGGACAGGAGGTGGAGATTAGGCTCAGTTAACAGATGGCGACCACATGAAAAGTGCCGGATCACAGGCAGTTAGCTTAATCATGCTTGACGCGGAGTCTAAACAGTACCGATGCGGATTCAGGCGAATGCTGTAGTGGCGGTGGCGGCTATCCTTACCCCCTACTTCTGCTCACCCGACGCGGACCAGACACTTCACATGATGGCTTGATTAGGGTTGTTCACAGTGAGTAGCACTACGAGACTGTCAGATGCTGCAGCACTCACCTCGCTTGGCCAATTTGATGGTCAACCATGTGCATTTTGACCGCTGTGCTCTCCTCCAACTCTGAGTACCAAACGGACTGAGATTGATGATCAGCGGGGCATGAGGTGTATTCCCATTTTCTCAGTTCACATGCTCAGAGTCAGGATGCAGTGCAAGGAGAATGAGCAACAGCTGCGAGATTAGCTGAAGGTTGGGGTATGTGTGAACGTGCATGACATATGGTGGGAGAGAGGATAGCACTGACTTGCCTGTACTAAAGTTCTAATGTGTACTTTCTATGTACCGACACAAACGGATGTTTGCGGCTAAATGTAGAGTGCTCCGTACGCTTGTATTGCACAGGTACCCAATGCAAGGTGCCTCGACGTGTTCACTGTTTCATTCTCAAACCCTCACCAACGGAGTATCCGCGTTCTCTGCAGTCACGCCTAGACACCTCAGTAAGCCATTTGGATACCACTGGAATGGCGATTGTGAAGAGACACATTTGTGTACGATGCACGGATTTCCACCAACTTGGGAACATGAAGCCAGAAAATTCGAAAATCCACATGGTATTCATCAATACTCAACGCAGTGGTTGCGGAGAGACGAGTCTGTCCTACCGTCGTTCAACCTCAGCACAACAGTGTTTGGCAAAGATATGGGGCAGGATGCAACACATGGAGATTCAGTTGTACGAAGCTCAGCTGGTGGCTGTCCCTATACAGCGTGGGATGCCGAGGGCCCGCCGGATGAATTTCCGCTCATTGGATGTGTGCGGGACACTGCAACAGGAACTGCACGACCGAATACGGAGTTATGTTTCAGGAGCACATCAACCGGTAAGTTAATGATGAACAACGGCTATTGGCATACATGGTTTTCTGAAAATGCATGTCACTGGACTGACTGAAAAACATGTATATATTTGATCGGCATAACACATTAAATGGTTTCTAATTAGGCTCCACTTGCGTCGATATATCACTTCCAGTAAGATTTCCAGACATCGAAGTCGTCACATTGGGTTTTTCTGGAATGCATTTTAGAGCCTTGGTTCAGGCGTGTTCTTGCTCTTGGTTAGTAGAATGTCTATTTGATATGCATTTTTTGAACAAGCTTAATAGTCGTTCTTTATTCTTTCCATTTCCTTCTGCTTAACTGCTATTTAAACGCTCCACTGTGTTTGCCCGATTGATGCACACACGTCATTGGTAATGGACGCTCACATTCAGCAGTGCCATTTGAAAGAACACATTCCATCGGTTTTATTCTCCGCATCACTTTTCTACTTTGCTATGGTAAAGGAATATTTAATTAGCACTCAATTATTGTACTAGTTTTAATTTTTTGGTCTGCACTTCTTGTTCTCGTTTGTTTTGTGTCATTTGCTTAAATGCTACGTTCCGTTATTCTGATTGGCCAGTGCCCGGCACTGTAAATGGATGTGCGCTTTACGCTTGGGTCCCATGATACTAACTTTTAAAGATATATGCGATTCACCCTTATTTAGACGGGTGTTTATCCGCCCGTTGCATTTGACGTTTTTCCTCTGTTAGTTGGCTCAAGTGTAATGTATTAGCTTCGCTTCATTCTGTCTTCAATAGTATATAAGCAAATGTGATTTCATGTACACAAGTCTCTTGTTGGTTCGTCTTTGGACATCTTCTGGCGGTCGTGAGGTGAAGGTGTCAGTGGCGACACAACACTCTTTGACTGGCCCATTCTGGACTTCTTAGGGCGAAGGGACATCGAGGTATGTCACTCGGGGCTTTACCTTTTGGTTTCGGGGTCGTAGTCAAAGGACCGAGACTCATCATCTGTGATAACATTGTCTAAAATCTCAAAGTTGTTGGTACGTTTCAATTCGGTGAGATTTTTGGTCGAGCGTTAACAGTTTGAACACCATCCGCGCGCGCATTTTTCTCATTTGCGGATTGTCCGTCAAAATCACGCTAACGGCATATTGTGGAATGTTTAATGTCTGCGTCATTAAATGAACACAAATGAGTTCAACAGTTCGGTCACACAGATCACATTTTAGTCGGTGGTTGCTCTTGATGGTCTTGCAGCTCGAGCCTCTTCGTTGATCTTTTCACGGTCTGCAGAAAAAGACTTTTGGCACCAGAAGACTCTGCGTTCCGATAAACATTCATCACCAAAGCTCGTCTTTGTCATGAAAAATATTTCCATTGCAGATTTGTCGAGGTTCATAGAAACTTGATGGCAACAATTCTCCATCGAGCACTGCATCGCGACTTTCAAGGGAGGCGAAAACGAGTTTCACGATAATGGTCGCCCTTACTCTGCGTATGGTCGCAGAAGACTGAGCGATTGCACATGCGTAAACTTAACCATCTCTCCACTGCTCCCAACCAATCCGAGCGCGTTGCGATGTGTATTCGCTTCACAGTGAATCCACAAATATCCATTACTAGACAAACGTTGTATAAGGATGCGAAGCCTGTGCACACGAGAGTGAGGTCCCTCAGTATTTTCAAATCCTGTTTGCATGACATCCTTAGTATACCATGATGTTACTAAGGTGAGCATCTCCGAATCATTGGAATCTAGTAGCTAATCTTGCTTACAGCTTAGAGACTGGATGGGTATTGCTGGTGCTTTCGGACTCCAGACATCGGTGATCAGTTCACCAGCTCCCATGGATAGTGACTACTCCACCTTATCTTCAGCCATGTTTGTGAAATGAGCTTGAGTAAAATCCTACTAATTCATGGACATCAAGCGATGGACAGCTTTCACAACATGGGCATATAAAATCTCGTTTTCTTCCATTCGGAAATGGCTCAGAACTAGCAACGCACACTAATCACCGTCCAGTTTCACAATTCCAATGCCAGCGCTTAGCAACTCCGATTTGTTCACTAGACGAGCAACCAAATAATTTAGGTACGATTTGATTATCCTTGATACATACTTCACTGAGGGTTTGGCAGACCAGGTAGGATAATCGAGAAGAACAACCGAAGGTGATGCGGTTACTTGTGCTTCTAATTCACCAGCACCTATATTGTTCGTTCAAATTCGACCGGAGAATGTTCACTTTGATGTAGGCGATGCTAAATATGCTTCCATGAACCAAGTAGTGCCAGTCGCTATGTGTTCAAATTGACTTCAATGGCACAGGAGTGACAAGGTAGAAATGAGTACGTCGGAGTAGCCTTCACCTGCACAGCACTATTAGTAGTGGTACTGTATGCTGGACTCCCTGAGCTTGTATGGGCACTGAAACAGCTCCAGCGAAATAACAGTATTGCTAAGCTCTAGAATGACGACATTGGCACAGACGAACCGCTGATGGTGGATGGTGAATGAAGTGCTGCGTGGAGCAGTCCTGATGGTATTCTACCCGACCGCTGCCAGTTCGTATCCCGTAGAACTCCAACAGTGGTAGCACAAGAACGCACGACAGTAACTGTGGCCGTGCGCCACAATTGGAGCACAAACAGCCAATCATCCTGAAACAAATCATGTCTCTTTGTGAAAAGATCAAACTTTGGAAATGCAAGTCCGTTTGAAGTCACGGTGGTCTGACGGTCAAAGTGCTGGCTAGATCGCAGCGCCGCTTGCATTGCATAGAACAGCCACCAGTTTACGGCTATCCGGGAAGTAATCAGTCACAGTGAAGCCTTGTTCGTCCGTTTGTACGGCTTATGTGCACCGCTGTCTGCACAGCTGTACACAATGGACATCCGTTACACACACAGGTCATCTGTTTTGTTCACATCATGATCCGATCCGATTGATGGCGAAGCATAAATTCAGCGACTGCGTTTGGCCACGTTTCTGGAACTCCGCAATCTAAAAGCGTTACCACAATACGCGTTTAACCAAAAGACGATAAGTAGATACGATAACTACTTTTGATTCTTACTGACTCTGCTTTTCCTTCACCGGATTATGCACAATGTCATATTGCCACCTTCCTCTGTTCATTTTTCAGACTCCTTTGGAAGAACCGATATCGACTTGACCCCAGCTCATCCAATCGATCTGTCCGCTCACCGAACCGTGTCCAATGACAGCGGTACATGCTCGACAGAGCCTGTTCTGCCCATCCTCAGCGAGGCACAGCGAATCGGAACCAGTTCGGAACCTGGTAAGTCTACACGCACAATTCTGCCCATCGGTGGCGTGGAATAGTGTTCGGAAGGAATACGCGAGTCGAAAAAGCCAGGACCTCATCGCCGGCCGCGGCGAGTCCATTCAGGCGGGGGACAAACACTTCAAATAGTTTGGTAGTTTGGAAGCCAGGCCAAGGGGTCACGCATACATGAAGAATGCACAATGAATTTATACGGGCTAAGAAGCAATGCTGTACATGTCCTGTTGTGATTTTTTCAGAATTAGCGAAAAAGAAACATGGAATTGGGTAATTTACGTTTAGAAGAGTGACTTACTTTGTGTTTCGCTGTAGTCCTGCGATCCGTGTACATTCACATCATAAACATGTAACAGCAGATGCATTCAAAGTATATTCCAGGAGTGGGATGGAGATGTAGTATTAGGTAACAAAGTGCAGGTGAGTAAGTGTGTCATCCAAACGTCTTTTAAATATGAATATTGATGGTGAAGAAATGACTGATTTTGGAATTGCATTCCACGGGTGACACATGCGGACGGAAAGTAGATTCCTGCGGCAATCCAGGCGGCTGTACTGTGCTGCCAGTTTTAGTGAGTGACCTCTTAATTTGGTATAACTGCTGAGTTGCAGTAAAGAGCGGCACGCATGATGTTGATCGTGCAGAATTAAGTACGCCATTATCAAGTTACATCGTACGCGGCGATAAAGTCCGCTGGATAATCTGCATCTAATGGGTAACAAACACTACAATTGGAGAGGTGTTTAAGAGCCAGTGTGCGATACCACTCTATGTCTCGTCTGATGTCAGATTTAGGGATATCAGAGTTGATGTTCCGCTAACGGATATGTTGATCGGATCAATCCTATGTGCAAGATGGAGTACGCACATCATAAACTAATATAACAGCAACAGTGTAACTGTTGAGCAAGTACTAAAATGACCAGCATCTAATTCAAGTGTGTGAGTACTGGCTGAAAAATATTGGAGGATGCATTTGATGACAACAGTTCAATCCGTACGCACCTCCAGGGAGACAACCAGTGTTACTGCGGCACGGCCCCCGAGATGCGACAGCGCAATCCGCTCAAGGAACGCTCTAATCCTGTGTCGCAAAAGCAAGTGTATTGATTCTTGGTTTAAATGTATATAAGATTCACCCGAAATTATAATTTGTCCCGTTTATGCTATGACCATCGGGAAGATACACAGTGGGTCAAATATTTGTCTACTGATGGTAGCACTACTGAAACTTATTTTCCGTAAGAGTGCTAAGTTCCTTCGTTACAAATTCTGTTGCTTTCCGCGGTCCCATAATGATGAACTTCCAAGGTAGATTTCAGCTGCGGGAAAAGGTAGAAACCGCATGAAGCTCGATCAGAGCTGTAGGAAGGTTGTGGTAGTGTGTGGTTAATTTTCTTCGCCAAAAACTCGAAATGAAAGTGCTTTGGGAACAAGCGCTTTGTCGTGGTACAACACCCAATCATCTGCAATGTCCGTTCGGACTTGCTGGACCAGTTTTCGAAGTCGTTCCAAGACATCTTTGTACAAAGCCTGTCACGGCGGTACAAATTGCTTTGCACAATTCCACGACTGTCGAAGAAAGAAGGATGGTCGTTTTCGACAGCACAGCTTGCAGAAATATCACCTTTTGATCGTTTGTTGACAAGATTCGTTGTCCGGAACGAGGTTCGTTTTCAACATGTTCTTAACCTTATATGAATGTTTTCTGCCGCCTAAAATCCATACTCCTCGAATGACTGGCATGAGTTAAACTTTAACATGCTTCGGTGGCAGACTTCTTGAGTTTCACGCAACAGTTGATAGCGTACCGGTTTTCGACATTTCGCTCCACCGCAAACGTAACGATGTATTAACACGCGACCTTGCACAGAATACTGTAGCGCGGGAATGACTCGGCCGATCGAGTTGAAACAGATCTAGGCATCCAGCTAAGCTCTCTATCGACGCTCTAACGTCCACTGATGAGGTGTTATTTTGTCTATGCCATTTCTCACTTGCTAACATCCTTAACGCAATCGCTTACATCCTTAGTGCAGAAGCTATCATTCTTAGTGCAGAAGCCATCATTCTTAGTGCAGAAGCTTTCCTCCTTAATGCAAAGGCTGTCGTCTGATGATCAGCGCACTTGCATCCACGTAGCATCACGTGGGCAGAGGCTACCAGCCAATAGAATTCGGTATAGCGTAGGGACTGAAAACAGTTCCGCACAGAATACTCACGCTTTCGGAGCTGGGTAGGAAAACTGAGACTTGCGTGAGACCAGCGTGGTCCAACTCAAATGGACGGCAATTGAGACTTTACTAAACGTAGCTCAGCCGGTGCACAGTGTGCCGCGCGCCCTCACTGGACAATGGAGTTGTCTGAGACATCCACTGGAACGCGCACAATCCCTGAGGGAAGAGAGACGCGTGCGCTCAGAGAACCGGGTATAAGCCTGAAGTGGAGTCAAACCAATTTTGTTAGTGAGCTTTGGAGATGTCTGAGGCTAGGGCGCAAGTGATGCACGCAGGACAACAGTGCACAACTTTGGCTTGGTACTATAAATGTGCTCTAAACAATAGGCGCAGATAGACTGCCTCATTTGGTGGTTATTTATGGTAGTTCGGTCGGATAGTTGAAGGCGCTGTAGAGCCTACCGTTTGACCTCGAAGTCAAGTTGTCCGTAACATAAGGAGCGGAACGATCTCAGTTGCAGCAGAATGGATACCAATCACTACACGTAACTTCCTTATTTATGCGATGAAGTGCCCCTTTTGTGACGGATCCACAGGTCTAAGTTGAACGTGGGGCAGAAGGTAATCATATTCCAAACAATTCGCCCCCATACGAAGCACACAGGTCAAATCTGATCGAGGTAGACAGGACAGCTCCCAGGTGGAATGATCTAATCACCAATGGAGCGATGAAGGAGGCATGTGATAGATGTTTGATTGCAGCCTTGCAATTCCCTTTCAAAGGATATGTTAAACGGTGACTTATATTACTTTCCTTCATGTTCCGCAAGTACGCAGACATGTACTATTTTGTTGCGAAGGGATTACACTGCAAGCCGCTGGTCTCGTGAAATATGGGGGTATTGCGAGCCGGCGCACTCTACGGCAGTGGTCCCCAACCTTTGCATCGGCGTGTACCAGTCGGCGTTTGATAATTGTACCCCGGCCCACTGAAGGGGTTTGTTGAATGTTTACATATTAGATTGTTTTGAGTGAATAATTTTGTTGTAATTCTGATTGAACATAATTTGAAAATAAAATCCAGTTACACCAACGAATAGATATAAACCCACTATATGAACTCACTAAAAACACTAAATAATGGACAACCATGAGCGTGCTTTATCTGGGGAAAATAGGAGACAACGACTCTTGATGTGTGCTGCCTAGGTCCAGTGAATTTGGCTGCGTTGTTTCGACTGCTGACACTGCAGAGCACCTCGCTTCACACAGTTAGGTTGTCAGAAATGGCAATCTGCGCGTAATTCACTATGAGTTTAATTGCAGAACACCGGCGAAGTTGTTTGTCACGAAGGTACTATCAAGGCCGCCGTCATTTGCAATCGCAGTATTGGTGCATAACGTGGGATATATGAGTAATAGTAATGCGATAATCTCACAGATTGTGAGTCAACAGCTTAGAAACTGACTTGCAAATCGTCGAAATTCACAGTCTTTAAAAATCATACACACATTTCTATTGTCATAAACATTATCCACCAGATGAAAAATATATCAAATATAGTGTTCCGTTGCTTGGCAATCGAAATGAAAGGAATTTAATTTTTCCCTCACGTCCAGAAGAAGTGCAAGCATGCCAGTGTGTCCGTTATGTATTGCGTAGGACCGCGAAATATCAACTTTACCCTGTGCGTCTGTGAATGTATACGTTTTCAGAACGCTTGTAGAATCCTGTTCCTGCTGGTAGTCTGATTCATTACTCATATCCTCAGCTGCTAAAATTGATGTGCTTGGCAGGTCCCAGTTTATTTCTGTTGTGTGACTTGTTTGGAAATAAGAAGCAATCAGATGGCTGTCAGCCAGTTTGCATCCAAACCATCCCTCTGAGTGAACATGCATAACAATTGCGTTTGAAGGGGGCACAATTTGTTCATATGTCTCAGGTGAAATTTGCATTCTTCTCTCAGAGTCTATTTCTGCAGTACAAGGAAAGCCCGATTTACAAAAACAGAGATGGTTGAGTTTTGCACCTCCTTCCAGATAGAAGTTATGTAGAACACGACGTCTAATAAATTTACTCATTTCATGAAATCAGTTTCGGACATATCTTTGTAGGATTCCATGATCGTTATAAAATGGAGAAGCTGTTTTTCTCCTAAACTTCGGTTTAAGCGCCTGAACGATATTCTGGTCGTACGGTTGAAGTAACGCAGTGGTGTTGGGTGACAGGAACTGCAATTTGATATTAAGTAGGTGGAATTAGAGAGGGCAAAGGCTTTGTCGAGAGAAGGTATGATGTTGCGTTTTTCTGTATTTTGCTGTTAAATCTTCGGAAATAGTTGCACTCATCCCTGCCATCTTGGTATTTTTGTAAAATGCCGGTAGCTTTTCATGTTGATATTTCTAAAATTCGAGTGTTGGCTGATTTCCAAATCACTGCAGCCGGTTCTCGCTCCCCAATGTGGTAGTGAACAGCATAACTATGATACGCGCCTTGCTTCTATACCAACCTGCGCATTTCTATCCTTTTACACAAAGACTTTATCGGACATCGTTCTGAATAGCAAGGCAGTTTCATGTGAATTAAAAATGTCTTGAGCTGTGTAGCCGGAACATATTTCGGGCAATTTTTCTGCATAGGCGGATGCTGCACACATATCTGAGTCACCGCTTTCGCCCGATTGCTTACCAAACACAAGAACGTCTACTGCTGAAAGCCTGTAGCCAACTGTTTGACGAGGTAAAGTCTGTGTTTTGCAATTCTTTTGTGAAGTGCAATGCTCGTTCCTGAATCGCGTGTCCAGATAATGGAAATTTCC